CATTAGGCGGGGGGCCACTGTATTTTTATTAAACACAACCAAAACGAAACCCTTTAGTGTTTATATTATATATACGTATGTATCATTTTTTGAACCCCCTTTTAAAATACCCCAATTTTCTTTGCTTTTTATATTTTATAGTGCTCCCTTAATTTAATATTAGGGTCATTGGGGGTAAAAAGTTTTACCGGTTTTATAGTAAAACAGGCAAATTTGCCTACTGTCTACCGTATCCCTCTCACTCCATCACCCGGTTTGATAGCCTACCTCGCAAGTGCCAATGAAAATTTTTGCTTATTTATTATTTCTTTGTTTTTTTTTTTTATTACTATTTTATAAAAAAATTTACGGAATTTTTTATTGGGTCAAAACGAATCTTTGATTACCTCTGGGATTAAAATCTTCTTAGCTTGGTTTAGGGCCCGTGAGCAGATAACCTTTAAACCCCCAAGATGGGGTAAATTTTTAAGACTTATTTTTGGGAAAAAAAAGCATCTTTGTGCCCTAAAAAGTGTAAGTAAATGGTTTTTTTCAAAAAACCCCAAACCCCAAAAATGAAATTTTTAGTAAATATGATGCTGGGGATTTTTGAAAAAAAAAAAGTTGCAAAAATGCTGAGTAAAACTACTTTACCATTAGGGGAAAAACTAATGTTTTAATGGTACCATCAGGTACAACCGTGTTTAGTGTTTCCCTGAAGTCAATTTTGTATGTTTATTGGTACCTCAAATACAACTATGTTTAATGGTACCATCAGGTACATGTTTTAAAGGACCCTCAAGTAGAACTAGTGTTTAATAATACCACAGGTCATCAGTGTTTAATGTACCATCAGGGACAATTGTGTTTAGTGGTACCATCAGGTACAACTAGTGTTTAGTGGGTGAAGAGGGAAGGGGTGTACAGAATGAAATTATCCACAACTCCCCCGATTATAAATAATATTTTATGGCAGTTGTCTTTTGAAGTAGTGGGCTTGTTTTGCTGATCAGAAGCAACCCAAAACATTAAGAATACAAATTTGAACCCGTACTGTATTGTAAAAATTTTTAGAGCTCTACAGAATTTACGTAATTTTTCTAACCTTTTTTTTTTTTTGAGAGATGAGTTGTAAACTGCTGTGTCCTAATGGAACTCTCAACTGTAAAAAATCAGCTATGAAAAAAAATGAATGGCTGAGGCTCCCCATAAAATGGGGAAAATTGGGGGGTCAAAATAAAACTAAAAAACGAAGGAACACTGCAGAAGGCCCCATGGCCCATGCGAGGCGGTCCAAGTCTCCCACCGGGTTAAGCCCAAAGCACCCAACCTAGTCGTCAGGTCCAAATTTACTTAGGGAGGAACACGGCAACCGACCCGGGGCAAAGCTATCAGGGCCAAATCACACCCACCCAATCCACTCATGTATTTATCCCAACCCTTTTTTAAAACTACACAACGTTTTGGCCTTATAATGTACTCGGGGGTTTGTTCCACTCATCACAAAATCTTTACCAAAAATACTTTTTTTATATCCTTTCCCGAATCTGAATTTTTCCAATTTAAAACCCTTGCTGCGAGTCCTGTCTAGGTAGATTTTAAGCACACTATTACATCCCCTTTTTTATTCCTTCTTCCATTTATAAACTCAAATCTATCCCCCTAATTTTTCGTCTTTTAGAGAGTGCAGATTCGGCCTTTGTCTATCCTAAGGGGAAGGTTTTTGATACATGGATCAATTGTCATCCTCCTTTGTACATTTTCCAGAGAATTTATATCCATCCTGTAATACGGTGACCAAAACTGTGCAGCATAATCTAAATGAGGCCTAACCAAGGATGTATAGAGTTGAAGAACAACCTGAGGACTCCTATTATTTATGCTTCTTGATATGAAGCCAAGGATTCTATTAGCTTTATTGCGAACACTTATGCACTGTTGTCTTGGTTTCAGATTACTGCTAACCAGAACTCCTAAATCTTTTTCGCAATCCGTAATATTAAGATCTACATTATTTAGTTTATATGTGGCATGGTTATTGTCCCGTCCAACATTTAGAACTTTGCATTTGTCTATATTAAACTGCATCTGCCACTTCTCCGACCACTGCATCAGTCTATTCAAATCTTCCTGGAGTGCTCGAATGTCCTCGTCAGAATGGGAATTCGACGGCCTATTTTGGTGTCATCGGCAAACTTGCCGAAGTCGCTCTTTATGCCCTCATCTATGTCGTTTATGTAGATTGTGAACAGCAGGGGCCCAACACTGACCCCTGTGGAACACCGCTCGTAACGCTTCCCCACTCTGATTTCTCCCCATTTATGCAAACTCTCTGCTGCCTATTTGTCAACCATGCCTCTATCCAGGAAAAAATTTCTCCTCCTATTCCATGTGCTTTAATTTTCCTCAATAGTCTCTGATGTGGGACCCTGTCAAAAGCCTTACTGAAGTCCATATACACAATATCATATTCATTACCATGATCTACCTCCTCAAATACCTTAGTGAAAAAAGTTAATAAATTCGTAAGGCAGGAACGCCCCTTTGTAAAACCATGCTGAGATTCGTTGATTAATTTATGCTTTTCAAGGTGGCTACGAACTGCCTCGGCAATTATTGATTCCATAAATTTTCCCACTATGGAGGTTTAGGCTTATTGGTCTATAGTTCGAAGCTAAGGACCTGTCACCTGTTTTGAAAATAGGTATCACATTTGCCATTTTCCACTTATCAGGCACCATGCCGTTTGTAGTGATATGTTGAAAAGATTAGCCAAAGGTGTGCTAAGCTCCTCTTTACATTCCTTTAGAACCCTTGCATACAGTTCATCAGGGCCTGGGGATTTGTTAGGTTTTAATTTATCTATTTGCCTAAGGACCATGTCACTTGTGACCCTAATCGTGCACAGTTTATTCTCGTCCTGTTCTACATAATTTATCATTACTGGAATATCGCTGGTATCCTCCTGTGTAAAAACTGAGAGGAAGTATGTGTTAAAAATTCTACACATTTCCTTATCACTGTCAGTGACTGACCCGAGGAACTTTTGAGTGGGCCTATCTTGTCCCTGATCTTACTTCTGTATACCTGAAAGAATCCTTTTGGGTTAGTCTTCGATTCTCTTGCAACTTTAACCTCATAATCTCTTTTTGCTTTTCTAATTCCCTTTTTTATTTCTCTCTTTAACTGAATATATCGATTTCTTAATTGCCCCTCTCCTCTTTTGATTTGCCTATATATGCCTCTCTTATGACCAATCAGATATTTTAATCTATTGCTCATCCATTTAGGATCATTTTTGTTTGATCTGATTTCCCTATTTGGAACATAATTTGACTGAGCAGCTAGAACTATGCCCTGGAAAGCATCATATCGGCAACCATCACCACCTACCTGACCCTTAGTCAGGTCATTCCAGTTCAGCCCACCTAAGTAATTTTTCAGTCCTATGAAATCAGCCAAGCGAAAGTCAGGGACGGAGACTTGATTGCCATTATTAGGGGAATTCCATGATATATTAAAACTGAGTGATTTGTGATCACTTTCCCCAAGCTCATCATTAACCTCAAGATTATTAATTAGTGTTTCCCTACTGGCAAGAACCAAGTCAAGGAGGTTATTTCCCCTAGTAGGCTCTGTCACAAACTGTTTTAAAAAACAATCCTGATCGTATCAAGAAAGTCACCTGACTCTAAATTTCCTGTCAAATTGCTCCAGTCAATCTGTCTATAGTTGAAATCTCCCATTAGCACAACATTTTCGTATGTAGATGCCTTACGAATTTCGTCCCATAGAAGTTTACTGCACTCTCTATCAAGATTTGGGGCCCTGTAAATCACACCCAAAATTAGTTTTTCTCGGCCCTCGAGAAGCTGTAACCAAACAGATTCAGTGGCTGATGCTTCTAATTTAATATCTTGTCTAACACAACAATTTAAATTGTCTCTGACATACATCGCTACTCCACCACCTTTCCTGTTGACCCTGTCAGTGTGGAATAATTTATAGCCTTGTACGTGACATTCAGAGGGCATCTCTCTATCTTTCAGATTGAGCCAGGTCTCTGTTATAGCAATAATATCTATGTTTCCTGCACTTGCAATTAATCTTAGCTCATCTATCTTATTTCTTACACTCCTGCTATTAGTATAGTAAACCTTAAGGGAGCTAGTCCCTTGCTGCCCTCTGCTGAATTGTGTAACAGATTAAGATTTTACATTTACTCAAAGTAAAATAGAATTACAAAAGGGATTATATTACTTTCACTTTACAAAATGATTATACTTGAAACTTTTCATATTACAAATTAAAAGTAGAACTAAGATTTTACAAGGGGATTTGCACACAGGTAAATCTCAGGTAGTACTTACTATTTAACACCTCTCCTCTGATTAGTTTTCACTCAACTTAGTGGAGGCTATCCTACCTCCTAAACCCCACTTAAGAAATCATCCCTTTCCAGTTTTTTTAATGCATTTTCTTAGCCACTGTGAAACAGAGTCCCAGTGGAGGGATTGTGAACAGGATCAGAAGCCAGCCCAACATTTGCCAAACCTGAGAATAGCACTTCTCTCTGACTCTCCATTATAAGAGCTCCTGCATTCCATCTTCGATATTCTTTCCTCCAATAAGACTGTAAACTCGTGGCTCCCACAGAACAGTTTAGCCATTCCCAAAATATCCTTAAAATTCCCAGACTTTTAATATGTCTAAACCCAAAGAGAGACCCTCTCTTAGGGAGCTAACCATAGTCACTCTGCTTGAGGTGAAAGGCCAGAGGCCACATGGCTCTACCACAGTTACTTGAAAACATAGGCAAACTGACATTGTACTTGTTAGGTGAAATTTTGTATAAATAAAGATCTTCATTGCAGTCAGGGTTTTTCCCTAGCTGCTCAAAAACTAATCAAAGTTATCAATGAACTAATAAAGGCCGAGTAGGTATGCCCGTGCAAGGAAAGTGGAAAATGGGTAAATGGCAACATTAATGTTAAAATGTATCTTTCTTGGCCTTCACACAGCCATGACAGTGCCAAGTGATGCCCACACCTCCCTGACTGAGCTGGGATCAATGATGTTCCTGCGTGGTATTTCAGGGACTCGAGTTATAGCAACCACTGATGTCAAAACTATCGCTGGTGTAAAATTTATCGGTAAGTAGCAATTGTACAGCTTTTTTTGTTGTTTAGGAAATTGTTAAGAGTGCATGTAGCATCCTTCCAATTTTGATATAAACTCAGTGCACCATTCTTTTTTGTTTAATAACAATATTTTGAACATTTCAACATTTTTTTTTTTTTTTTTTTTTCAACAAGTCGGCCGTCTCCCACCGAGGCAGGGTGACCCAAAAAAGAAAGAAAATCCCCAAAAAGAAAATACTTTCATCATCATTCAACACTTTCACCACACTCACACATTATCACTGCTTTTGCAGAGGTGCTCAGAATACAACAGCTTAGAAGCATATACGTATAAAGATACGCAACATATCCCTCCAAACTGCCAATATGAACATATATTTAGATATTTAGGAGTGGGCTTGTTGGCGGATGGGCCGATGAAAGAGGAGGTGAAACCATAAAAGTGATGAGGCATCTCTGGAGACAACCTTATCCATAGAGGCAAAAAAGAGGAATGTACCAACACTTTTATATGGGTGTGAAGCATGGGTTTTAAATGTTGCAGCGAGGGGGAGGCTGGAGGCAGTGGAGATGTTACATCTAAGGGCAGTGTGTGGAGTGAGCATTATGTAGAGAATTCGGAGCTTGGAAATTGAAAGGTGCAGGGTTACCAAAAGTATCTAGAGGGCAGAGCAGAGATTATTCAGGTGGTTTGGACATTTAGAGAAGATGGAACAAAATAGGATGACTTGGAGTGTATATAAATCTGGAGAGGGTAGGGGTCATCCCTGGAAGGATTGGAGGGAAGGGGTAAGGGAGGTTTTGAGTGTTTGGGGCTTGGACATCCAATAGGCATGTTTGATAGGAGTGAGAGGAAGCAAGTAGTTTTTATGATTTGATGTGCTGCTGAAGCTAGAGCAAAGTAACATTTATGAAAGTATTCAGGGGAAACTGATCAGCCAGACTTGAGTCCTGAATGTTGGCGGTAAACCTTGACTTAGACACCTGAACATGGGCTCATCCAGCAAAGATCAGAGAATGTTGAAGCATATTACACTGGCTTCTAGTATACAAGAAATTCAAACATGCTAGTTTAACTAATGAATAGTTCTGACCCTAAAACATTAAAACAGGAACCCTTACATCTTGGGATTTAAGGCCCTGCATCAGGAGAAACAGATTCCTCCAGCAGGGCCCCAGACACAGTAATTCACTGTCAAGATTCAGGCAATTAACAGACCTTAGGAGAGAGACTGGAGAGGCACCACAAATTCTGGAATTCATTAGATGTTCCTCTCACCTGTTTAATATCACAAGAGCAACTAATAGTATACTTTCCTCTTCATCTCACCATCTCTGAAGTAGTGATTATCCCTATGTTGGAGCAGAGAGGTTAGGCTAAATGTTCATTGATGTGTTGCTGAATTCACTGTCTCTTCCTTTTCTCAGTAAACAGTGTCTTTAATGCTGTTCTTATAGTCTGCAGCATTGTTTGTGCTGTCAAAGACAGCAACATTGGGTGTAAAAGAAATTAACACCCAGGCACAGTACCTATTTCCTGCTAGATGAAAAGATGCAGTACATGTAAAGAGACTTACCCATGCCATGCCATACGTCATGCCTGCTGCTGATGCTGGTAGTGGTGCTGCTGGTTTTTACTGCTTTGACATTATCAGCTGAGCTGCTGCAACTGCTTTTCTGTAACTGGTATCACATTCTAACCAAAACATAAGTGAAAAAAAGAAATCTGAGAAATGTTAAAGACTGACATAAGTTTGGTAAATTCTTAAATATTACATTTTTGTGTGGCTTTATTGTAGAGTGAATCATGTATATTATTTTGGTATAATTTTCTTTTGTTCCTCTAAGGTCTTCATGTATAACTAAAGAATACCTCATCCGGTTTGCTTCACATATTCAGTGCTGGTGATCTATAACTTAGGGCAGTGTTATTCACTAATTTTTGCAAGAGAGCCACTTCAGTTAAACACATTGATTGAGAGAGCCGCAGCTACTGCAAGTTAGCGTAACTCAACTAAATTAAGTAGTACTGAGCTGCTAGTGCAATATAGTAAATGAGAAAAAGTAGACATGAGCCGTGAATTGAGTCATCGCGAGCCTCACAATGAATACCACTGACTTAGGGAAAGGTTCACGAAACTGTTGCAATGGGCATTTGCCCTTTAGTCATTATTATAAAGCCTTTCCTAATTTTGGTTTATACATAGTACTTTGAGAGAGCCTCTTCTGATTGGCTTCAGACTTTCAAAATTGGCATATCCTACTTAGGAGAAATTTGATGTTGTTGCAGTTTGTAGGAGCTAATCTGCCAATTTTATTTTTAAAAAAGTGTGGTGGTATTTATTGTTGAAGATATTTGAGTTAACTCCATTAAATGGCTTCGTATTTAATGGTCTAGTTTTATTTCTTCATGGTGAAATGTCTTAAACCCATAGGATTTATACGGCTTGGTTGGGAGGGGGGTGGATGGAAGGTATCTTCGTGCTTAATTCGAGAATTGGAGCACAGATCCAATTCCCTAGATCAAGAGCCCCTCACCAGCATCAAGGAACCTCCCTTGAGGGGAATGGCTAATGCATAGAGTGAAAAAATGATAGCTTGAGGGGTTAAGCTTGTGTAGGTGCAAATTTGCCAAATTTGATACAATATATAGTTAATAAACTTGGAATTGGCTGAATTCCATTGTTGGATTTGCATTAATTTTGCAGTGTGCATGTTTTAATTGGCAAGTTTTACTAAAGAAATTTTATCTTCAGTAAAGTAACTGGAGAATGCTGAGTCTGATTGATTTTAAACATTAAATGCTGGTGTATCTTACTTAAAGAAAAGTTAAGATTGATTTCAAGCTGTGTAAGTGCCAGTTTGTCAATTTTATTGAAATGTGAAAATTTGAAATAGTGGTTCTCATCCAGTTAGCTTGAAGCTTGCAATGCCAATAACTCTAGAATGCAGCTTCTGAATGGCTTCAAACCTAAAGTGCTTGTGTATTTTAGAACATGGTCTATGGGCAATAAATAGTTGATGGCTTTTTTCTAGTTAAGAGAAATGTCAGAGTTGGAAATAGTACAGAGATTGTTACTACCCACACAGAATCAATAAGCCTTTTAAAACTACTTGGAACACCTTCCTCCTCTGATAGCCTTTAAATTTTCAGAGCCAGAGTATTTAAGTTAGAGGTTCAAATTGGTTTTGAGCTGTGCAGGTGCTAATTTCTCATTTTTATTTAAGAAACTGGATATTAGTTTCCACGCCTGTGATTGCCTTTTCTAATTAGAAATTTATACCTCACTGTACTATTAGTTTTGCATGTATTAAGGTACAGGGGCCTAGGCTTATATGATACAGGGATACCTTTCTCAAATTTTACGACTGAAATAAATCTAGTTTATGAAACGCTTAATTTTTTGTATGTCTTCATTTCATGCTGGTTTGGTGGGTTAACATTTGTTTGGTAGAAAAAGATAAAAAAATAGATATAATAATTCCACTGAATGGTGTCGGTAAGTGGAGGGAATCTTGTTGTGATGATGATGATGATGATGATGATGACGACGATGACGACGACGACGACGACGACGACGATCATCGTCGTTTCACACATTTTTAAATAATAAATAGTCGTAAAATTAATTAAAGTTTGTTCATTTAATTGAGTCCATACCTGATGCTAATGTATTCATTTCACTACTTAAGGATGGGGCAGCCACAGCAAGAACTACCCTCATCCATACCTGACGGCAGCAGCATGCATTGGCATAACTAAAATGGATGTGGAGACATTTGTACAGCGCCTTGACAAGTGTCTGGAAAAGTTTAAAGGCAGCAAAGCTCCAGTCTCAGTCCTGAGTGTAAATGGAGATAAGGAAGCTGTAACCTCCACAGGAGAGGTAGTAGATGAAGACAGTATTGATGCATAAAGGTCATACAATTTTGGGGGAATGAGAGACAGTTAGGTTTGATTCTAGGAAGGAGTGGGTAACCTTATTTTTTTTAATCAAGAGCCCTTAACCAGCAAACATCCTTTACCCTTAAAAAGGGGTCATCTAAGGAGGTATGCCAAGGAACACATCATTACATTTCCAACACAGAGAGCAGAATCTTCTGATTAGTTGCTCTAAGAAAGAAGGTAATTACAACATCTGTATATATCTCTCTTCCCTACATATCATGTCACTCACCAAACTGATGTTCATAATTATTAATATATTTAAAGATTTTATTTCTTTGCAGTGTTTACAATGTATGATTATAATTTGGATTTGTTAAGTAGAAACAAAGGCACTATCATGCCAGGGCATTTCGGGCAGACTAAACCTGATACAGACTACTTAATACTAGTGATTTTGAGAGTAGTAAATTTTTATTATATATCACTTTTATTATTACATCAGAGGTAGCTAGTGGTTTACAGTAACTGAATTTATAGTTGTGATGAATTATATGAAAATATTACAGTATTACAATATAGCACAATTTGGAATAATGAAATTGAAACAATTTTAAGTTTAAAGTAATGCTAAAATAATTGAGCAGTCGTAAATTATTTAGGAGTTTTTCGAGTTACTGGTTAATTTTGGGTGATGAGATGATTTCTAAGTAGAGCCTTAAATTGATTTGCAGCAAGAGCCTTTTTTGTATGTTCAGGCAATGAATTATAGATCTTCAGGCCCTTTATGTGCATAGCAGTTTTGCATAAGGAGAGATGCCTGTGCGTTCTGTTGGAGTTATCAAGGAGGGATTTGAGAGGAGGGTTAATATTGGAGTATAATGTTCTGTGTATGTAGTAGGCACAATAATATGTATGGATATTCTGTTTACTAAGCAAGTTTAGGCTCTTAAAAAGCGGTGGAATATGTTGCCTAATGCAGGAATTGGTAATCAATCGCACAGCAGCTTTTTGTTGGGTTTTTAAAAGTTTAAGGTGATTTGCTGTAGTTGAACCCCATGCACAAATACCATAGGTGAGGTAAGGGTAAATGAGAGAGTGGTAAAGAGCAAGACGTGCCATTTGGGGTACATAGTACCATATCTTAGAAAGGATGCTACTGTTTTGGAAACTTTCTTGGATATTTGCTGTATGTGGGTCTGAAGTTTAAGACTGCAGTCAAAGTGGAGACCTAGAAATTTACCCTCTTTGTCTTGAAATGGAGGAACTATTTATCGATATATTTAGCTGAACATTTGAAGCTCTGTTTCAAAACAATGAAGTTTTGTCTGTATTGAGAATAAGTTTGTTGATCGTCATCCAAGTAGATCTTTTTAGTAGTTTGTCATTTACAGTGTCTCTTAGTATAGTTGGGTCTGGGTGAGAGAAGACATAAGTAGTGTCATCTGCAAATAAAACAGGTTTAATTATTTTAGATGCGCTTGGGAGGTTATTGATGTAAATGAGAAAGAGAAGTGGGCTAAGGCCACTACCCTATGGGACTCCAATAAGAACAGGTTGTGTAGTTGAGGTAACACTGTTTGTGTATACATACTGGTGTTTGTTGCTAAGATAAAATTTAAAGTAATCGAGAGAGTGTCTCTGACTCCATAATGCTCAAGTTTCAGGTGCAGTAGGTCATGGTCAACTGTATCAGATGTTTTTTGTTGGTATATGAAAAATCCCAGATTAATTTCATTTTTTCGAGTGCCATATATACAAGTTCAAGCATATGTATAATTGCATCATTAGTGCTTCTTTTTGGCCTAAATCCAAACTGACAGGGGCTAAGTATGTTGTTGGATACTAAGTAGGCGTAAACTTGCTTGTGAATTATTTTTTCGAAGATTTTAGATGGTAGGGGCAAGTTTAATATAGGTCTATAGTTATTCAGTTCAGTTGGATTGCCTCGTTTGAGGATTGGGGTAACCCTTGCTGTCTTGAGTATGGATGAGAGGGTAGAAGATTCAGTAAATTTGCTAAAAAGAGTTGCAATAATTGGTAACAACACATACTGGAATATACCTGGAGAGGGTTTCAGGGGTCAATGCCCCCACAGCTTGGTCTGAGACCATGCCTCATACTGGATCAGGGTCTGATCAACCAGGCTGTTACTGCTGGCCACACACAAACTGACATACCAACCACAGCTCGGCTGGTCAGGTACTGACTTTAGGTGTCTGTCCAGAGCCTTCTTGAAGAAAGTCAGGGGTCTATTGGTAATCCCCCTTTATGTATGCTGGGCAGCAGTTGAACAGTCTTGGGCCCCTGACACTTAATGTGTTGTCTCTCATTGTACTCATGGTGCCCCTGCTTTTCATTAGGGGAATGTTTAATCTCCTGCCAAGTCTTTTGCTTTCATAGGGAATGTATATTATCATGTATCTCTCTTGCCTGCATTCCAGGAAATACAATTCAAGGGATTTCAACCATTCCCAGTAATTTAGGTGCCTTATTGTACTTATGTGTGTCGTGAAAGTTCTTTGTACACTCTCCAGGTCAGCAATTTCACCTGCCTTGAAAGGGGCAGTTAGTGCACAGCAGTATTCCATCCTAGAGAGAAGCGATTTGAAGAGAATCATCATCTGCTTGGCGTCCCTAGTTTTCAAGGTTCTTATTATCCATCCTATCATTTTCCTAGCAGATGCAGTAGATACATTGTTGTGGTCTTTGAAACCAAGATCCTCTGACATTATCACTCCCAGGTCATTCACATTAATTTTTCACTCTATTGTATGGTTAGAATTTGTTGTATACCCTAATGCATTTTTAATTTCCTGAAGTTTACCATATCTGAGTAATTGAAATTTCTCTTCATTGAACTTCATATTGTTTTGAGTGGCCCATTTGAAGATTTGGTTGATGTCCGCTTCGAGTCTTGTGGTGTCTTCAGTGGAGGACACTGTTATGGCAATGTGGGTGTCATCCGCAAAGGAAAACTGTTCTTCTGGGTAGGCTGGCTAGGATAGGCTTATTATATAAAAGGGTGTAAAGCACCCTTCTGGCAAGACAGTGATGGAGTGAATGATGGTGAAAGTTTTTCTTTTTCGGGCCACCCTGCCTTGGTGGGAATCGGCCAGTGTGATAATAAAAAAAAAATTATATATATATATATATATATATTTATATATATATATATATATATAATATTTTGTAGGTAGTAGGTTGGTAGACAGCAACCGCCCAGGGTTATATATAAAGATACATGTATATATATATCTTTCTTTCTTTCAACACACTGGCCGTATCCCACCGAGGCAGGGTGGCCCAAAAGGAAAAACGAAAGTTTCTCCTTTTACATTTAGTAATATATACAGGAGAAGGGGTTACTAGCCCCTTGCTCCCGGCATTTTAGTCGCCTCTTACAACACGCATGGCTTACGGAGGAAGAATTCTGTTCCACTTCCCCATGGAGGTAAGAAGAAATAAACAAGAACAAGAACTAGAAAGAAAATAGAAGAAAACCCAAAGGGGTGTGTATATATATGCTTGTACATGTATGTGTAGTGTGACCTAAGTGTAAGTAGAAGTAGAAAGATGTACCTGAAATCTTGCATGTTCATGAGACAGAAAAAAGGACACCAGCAATCCTACCATCATGTAAAACAATTACAGGCTTTCGTTTTACACTCACTTGGCAGGATGGTAGTACCTCCCTGGGCGGTTGCTGTCTACCAACCTACTACCTACAATATATATATACACACACACACACATACATACATACATACATACATACATACATACATACATACATACACACATACACAGTGGACCCCCGGTTTACGATCAGTTCCCAATGCGACCAATTAGGTAAGTGTATGTAAGTGCATTTGTATGTGTATGTTTGGGGGTCTGAAATGGATTAATCTAATTCACAATATTCCTTATGGGAACAAATTCGGTCAGTACTGGCACCTGAACATACTTCTGGAATGAAATAATATCGTAAACCAGGGGTCCACTGTATATATTATATATATATATTATATATATATATATATTTTATTATATAAAATATTTTATATATATATTATATATATATATCAATATATATATATCAATATATATATAATATTATATATCTATATATATATTTTATATATATATATATATATATATATTATATATATTTTTTTTTTTTTTTTTTTTTTTTTTTTTTTTTTTTCAACAAGTCGGCCGTCTCCCACCGAGGCAGGGTGACCCAAAAAAGAAAGAAAATCCCCAAAAAGAAAATACTTTCATCATCATTCAACACTTTCACCACACTCGCACATTATCACTGTTTTTGCAGAGGTGCTCAGAATACAACAGTCTAGAAGCATAAACATATAAAGATACACAACATTTTCCCTCCAAACTGCCAATATCCCAAACCCTCCTTTAAAGTGCAGGCATTGTACTTCCCATTTCCAGGACTCAAGTCCGACTATATGAAAATAACCGGTTTCCCTGAATCCCTTCACTAAATATTACCCTGCTCACACTCCAACAGATCGTCAGGTCCCAAGTACCATTCGTCTCCATTCACTCCTATCTAACACGCTCACGCACGCTTGCTGGAAGTCCAAGCCCCTTACCCACAAAACCTCCTTTACCCCTCTCTCCAACCCTTTCGAGGACGACCCCTACCCCGCCTTCCTTCCCCTATAGATTTATATGCTTTCCATGTCATTCTACTGTGATCCATTCTCTCTAAATGACCAAACCACCTCAACAACCCCTCTTCTGCCCTCTGACTAATACTTTTATTAACTCCACACCTTCTCCTAATTTCCACACTCCGAATTTTCTGCATAATATTTACACCACACATTGCCCTTAAACAGGACATCTCCGCTGCCTCCAACCGTCTCCTCGCTGCTGCATTTACCACCCAAGCTTCACACCATATATGAGTGTTGGTACTACTATACTTTCATACATTCCCTTCTTTGCCTCCATAGATAACGTTTTTTGACTCCACATATACCTCAACGCACCACTCACCTTTTTTCCCTCATCAATTCTATGATTAACCTATCCTTCATAAATCCATCCGCCGAACGTCAACTCCCAAGTATCTGAAAACATTCACTTCTTCCATACTCCTCCTCCCCAATTTGATATCCAATTTTTTTTATCTAAATCATTTGACACCCTCATCACCTTACTCTTTTCTATGTTCACTTTCAACTTTCTACCTTTACACACATTCCCAAACTCATCCACTAACCTTTGCAATTTTTCTTTAGAATCTCCCATAAGCACAGTATCATCAGCAAAAAGTAACTGTGTCAATTCCCATTTTGAATTTGATTCCCCATAATTTAATCCCACCCCTCTCCCAAAAAACCCTAGCATTTACTTCCTTTACAACCCCATCTATAAATATATTAAACAACCATGGTGACATTACACATCCCTGTCTAAGACCTACTTTTACGGGAAAGTAGTCTCCCTCTCTTCTACACACCCTAACCTGAGCCTCACTATCCTCATAAAAACTCTTTACAGCATTTAATAACTTACCACCTATTCCATATACTTGCAACATCTGCCACATTGCTCCTCTATCCACTCTATCATATGCCTTTTTCTAAATCCATAATGCAATAAAAACTTCCCTATCTTTATCTAAATACTGTTCACATATATGCTTCAATGTAAACACTGATCTACACATCCCCTACCCACTCTAAAACCTCCTTGCTCATCCGCAATCCTACATTCTGTCTTACCTCTAATTCTTTCAATTATAACCCTACCGTACACTTTTCCTGGTATACTCAGTAAGCTTATTCCTCTATAATTTTTACAGTCTCTTTTGTCCCCTTTCCTTTATATAAAGGGACTATACATCTCTCTTGCCAATCCCTAGGTACCTTCCCCTCTTTCATACATTTATTAAACAAAGTACCAACCACTCCAACACTATATCCCCCCTGCTTTTAACATTTCTGTCATGATCCCATCAGTTCCAGCTGCTTTACCCCCTTTCATTTTACGTAATGCCTCACGTACCTCCCCCACACTTACATTCTGCTCTTCTTCACTCCTAAAAGATGGTATACCTCCCTGACCAGTGCATGAAATTACTGCCTCCCTTTTCTTCCTTAACATTTAAAAGTTCCTCAAAAATATTCTCGCCATCTACCCAATACCTCCATCTCCCCATCTACTAACTCCCCTACTCTGTTTTTAACTGACAAATCCATATTTTCCTAGGCTTTCTTAACTTGTTTAACTCACTCCAAAATTTTTTCTTATTTTCATTAAAATTTCTTGACAGTGCCTCTCCCACTCTATCATCTGCTCTCCTTTTGCACTCTCTCACCACTCTCTTTACCTTTCTTTTACTCTCCATATACTCTGCTCTTCTTATAACACTTCTGCTTTGTAAAACCTCTCATAAGCTACCTTTTTCTCTTTATCACACCTTTACTTCATCATTCCACCAATCACTCCTCTTTCCTCCTGCCCCACCCTCCTATAACCACAAACTTCTGCCCCACATTCTAATACTGCATTTTTAAAACTATTCCAACCCTCTTCAACACCCACTACTCATCTTTGCACTAGCCCACTTTCTGCCAATAGTCGCTTATATCTCACCCGAACTTCCTCCTCCTTAGTTTATACACTTTCACTTCCCTCTTACTTGTTGTTGCTCCCTTCTCTTTTCCCATCTACTCTTACTCTAACTGTAGCTACAACTAAATAATGGATCCGATATATCAGTTGCCCCTCTATAAACATGTACATCCCGGAGCCTACCCCTCAACCTTTTATCACCCAAAACATAATCTAATAAAAATACTTTCATTACGTGCTACATCATACCTTGTATATTTATTTATCCTCTTTTTCATAAAAAATGTATTACTTATTACCAAATTTCTTTCTACACATAGCTCAATTAAAGGCTCCCCATTTACATTTACCCTGGCACCCCAAATTTACCTACTACTCCCCCCATAACATTTTTACCCACTTTTGCATTAAAATCCCCAACCACCATTACTCTCACACTTGATTCAAACCCCACGCATTCACTCAACATTTCCCAAAATCTCTCTCTTTTCCCCTAACTTCTCCTTCTCCCGGTGCAAAACACGCTTATTATTAACCCCCTTTTCACATCCCAAACTTTATTTTTCTCCACATAATCCTTGAATTAATACATTTATGTCCTCTTTTCCTGCCATAGCTTATCCTTCAAAATTTTTTGCTACTCCTTCTTTGCTCTAAAAATCTATTTGAAACCTGACCTAATCCATTTATTCCTTCCACTGAAACTCTCCCACCCCCTTCAGCTTTGTTTCACTTAAAGCCAGGACATCCAGCTTCTTCTCATTCATAACATCCACAATCATCTCTTCTTATCATCTGGGACAACATAACGCACTTAGACTTCCCCTTTTAATTTTCTTCTTCTTATTCTTTTTAGTTATCTTTACAGGAAAGGGGTTACTAGCCAAATTTTTCCCGGCATTTTAGTTGACTTTTACAACACGCATGGCTTACGGAGGAAAGATTCTTATTCCACCCTTTCCCCCTGGATATAAAAGGAAAAATTTAAAAAGACCAAGAACTATTAAGATTAAAATCAAAGAAAAAATCAGATGAGTGTGTATAAATAAATGTGTACATGTATGTGTAGTGTGACCTAAGT